TTAACGGATTTTCTCGTATCAAAAGTGATGGAATTCCATCGCTTCTCTGAGTTTGCCTTTTTAAATACGATAATAAGCGTTTCGGACTATATCTAGAATCCCTAACCAATTGTTTTTCATATGGTTGTCTAGTCTTACTTAATAACTCTTTACAGGCATTCCTAATCTTACAATAACTGGATCTGTATTGTTCTAAGCCAGTAGAGATGAACATACTCCAGCGCTTCTTCCTTTTCCTAAGAAGTTTCCTAACTGATTTAGTTATCCATGGTGGACTGTTATTCCGTCTTCGCGGTACCAGGTATAGTATGAACGAGGATGTAACTAAACTAAACTTACCTTTAAATACAGACCATGCTTCTTCAACTGATAAGCTAGTATCTACAAACCAATCTGTCTTAGCAGCGCATTCCTGAATGGCTGATATGTTAGCTTTCCATACATTTGGGCGGGGTGTAACCTGATCGTATAACATGTCCCTAGTTCTAAACGTGAATGACAAAACAGCGTGATCGCTGTTCACTAACGGTGGAAGAATATTTAGGTCGACAATATCCTCAGTATCATGAGTGATTACCAAGTCCAACAGAGAAGAACCTTGGTTAGCACCAAAACGTGTGGGTTTGGATACATGCTGCACTAGTGCATGCTCCATTATTGTTACCAGGAACCTACTATCAAAGGAGTTTATAGATCCGTCCGTGGTCATTTCAGTCCAACTAATATCAGGTGCATTAAAGTATACTATTATCGAACATCTGGTATTTGCACTTCAAAGATGAATGTGCTCTAAAATAAAGTCATCAGCTAAGCAGATCGGGCTGAGATAGATGACACCGAGCATAAATGTACTACGCCCGATAGCCAACTTACAGCTAATGATTTCACAAGTACCGCTGTCATGGGATTCTCTAACAGAGGAGCGGATATTTATATTATTGGCTATATATAACAGGATGCTACCTCCTTTTCTACATCTGTGTCTACCACTCCTGAGATAATGGTATCTGAATAATTCTGGTGTAATGTCTAAGCCATGGGCTAACCAAGTTTCTGTCACTGCTACGATGAGTGGCTTTAATCTGTCCACCAATGCTTCTAATTCATAGAACTTATTTCTTAGACTACGAGCATTGGCATATAAAACTCCTAAGTAGAACGGCCTATCCACACAGGCCTTGGTAGCATTCGCTTCCAAGACCTGACTATCCGAAAACCCACTAGCCGGAGATTTTTCTCACCGTTTTGCCGACGGGTTTCTAGTTCAGCTAATGCTTTCTTCCTTTTTATTCTATCTTCGAGAGACATATCAGGTCTAACCCGCATATCGAAATTGTCGTGACAACGAGCACTACTTAAAAAAGATCTCGTTGCTTCTCTGATCCTAGGTTTACCTTAAGGAGTCTACATGGTCGGGATTCAACATTTTCCTCAGTTCTCTTGCCTATTCTAACCAGTTTTTTTACCTGAACTCTTTTAGAGTCATCTGGTAAGATACTATGAATATATTCTCCCAGCTTCTCTAAATCATGCGCGTGTCTGATTTTGGGATCAGGGTCGTTTGACTCCAGCAATTCGCTCACAATAATATTCGATGAGATTAGATTCTTCTTCTCACTCACGCCAGGGTGGGTTTCTCTCCTACTATCAGATTTTGGTAGTGCATTTAGTGACTTGCTAATCATCTGCTCACTGCCTACAGCCTTTTTCCTTTCCTTTCGTTTTCTCCGTACTGTAGTCCATTTTTCATCCCTCAGGACACTGGGACTATTTGGAGCAGTGACGGTGCATGGTTATCAATGTCAGTATCAGGTGGTATCACCCCCGTCGTTAATGTTAACGGAGATTTTACTTTCCGGTCAGTCATAGTTGGTTGTCTAAGGCGTCTCGTAACAGCACGTACTACACTGACACATTCGTCACTGTCAGTGCTCGTGTTATCAGTGCATGCGCCATCGTTCTTCTTACAGGCCAAAGCCAATAGGCTCATAGCCTCCTGTATTAGTGACGTCTTATTTGCACAGCAACACATGCAAAGCCAATTTGAGTTAGGCTTCGAACATCTTTTGTATGCAGTGGGACTTAAACGGGTGCACATCTTATGGAACCACGTTTTGCATTCATCACACTGCATTCAGATTAAGATGTAAAGCACAGTATGATCACAGTATGAACATAGTGCCAGTCAACGAGTAAAAGGGTACCACAAGACAAACTTTAGCAAGATTTCAAACCTTAACTAAAGTACTTTGATTTAGACCAAGAATGCTTTTAATGCAATAATTACACAAAAGCAAGGGTAATCATAACAAGTACAAAATCACTGCCCTTTTTGAAACACCGACGACGAACTAATTTGACACAGAAACGATACTCTAATCAAATACTTTAACTAAAATAAATTCAATTAAAGTGAAAGCAGTAGACTTGGTACGTAATAAACTATCAAAACAATAGAATCCCGCAAGCGGGATCGTTGATTCGCACTTCTGAGGAGTCCCACAATAGGACGAAACGGCCGTCCAGTGCTTCCAGGTTTCCAAAGGTGGTCTAACATCAATCGGTTCATGATCTCAATGAAAAACTTAATAACCTCCACAACCCCTATACTAGCAAAACAATAGAATTTACTCAGCGAGGAAAAATACCATTGTCCTTTTAATTAGCGCACGCCATTAGTTAATTCCTGCTTTTGAAGCATTTATTTAGACTCCTCAAGTTGTTTTAAGTGCCTTTCAGTACTTTTATAGACTCTTGAAAAGTATACGTGATGAACTTTTTCCAACACATGAAGTCGTAAAACCTCAAGAATGTATTCGAAGAATTAGAAAAATAGTTTGTGGAACATAACTGAGATATTTAAAATCATGATTCTGATTCTCTAACGAGAATCAAATTACGAAGCCAAATAGTCCACAAATGTTCAGACTGGCCAGATTTTTAAATGTTGTTTGATGAATTATTGGAGCGACAAGAATATGACAAAGAGTAGGCTATCGAAGCAATAAGAAATCACGTTCGCTTATTTTTTTAAAATACTTTTTTCATATCGATATGACAATGTTAGATATGTGTTTCTTGTCTGCCTAATGCAAGTTAATGCTATAGTTATTGGTTCTTATCTAATTTAGGAGAATATTTTACACCGTTGTGTATATGGATCATTGGGCTAATTTGAAAAGTCGCTCTGTTGCTGATAGGTTAGCCACCTATAAAGTATCGCTACTATTGAAAAAAAACTTTTGTAGTTCTACCAACTTACATTTCAACCACCACTAGTTGGTTCGAGTCGTAGAAAAGCCGATGATAGGCAGAACACGTCATACCTAGTTTGTGAAATAACTGATGGTTAACATGAATTGTGTTTTAAAGTGTGGAATTTCTAAGTGGGGTCACTGAGATGATAGATAATAGTTTTTACAGACCATACTTGACATGATTTAGGACTAGTTGTTGTTTCACAAATGCATTAACACACTTCCTTGAACTATATCTGCTTGATATTATAGCTTACCTACTAATTCCGCTGTAACTAAGAAATTATGTAAGAATGCTGTTTAGAGGGTGATATTCTTGCCATGTGTTTATGAAGTTTCATATAATCTTAAGTAAACTATATATTGGTTATTACTGGGCACAAATTTCCCAAAATTCGATGTTGTCTAACTTGAAGGTTTTGTCGACGAACTCAAAAACGATGAATCATAAGTTGCGAGTAATTGTGTTGAATTATGCTACTTATTCGTTATAGAAGTCAGTCAGTCAGTCATCCATAACGTAGAACCAGGCACATATATTCATCGGTCCAGGTTGCCATACGTCATTTAGAAGTCAGTCAATAATGTTCAACATAATACCTGGTACAGATGTACACTGAACCAAATTGCCATACCACATAACCACAACACAATGAGATTAATAGGATCTATAGCAAAAGTGGCCGAAATAATGTAATAATAATAATGCGAAAAACTGAACGCTGAAAATATAATCTGAAAGGACTGGGTGGCAAAGTATCTATTAAAGGGTACTGGGATTCAATATCTAGATAACAACGAAGAGTGAATAGACCTGTTCCATTTTGAACTATTCTGTGCTATGTCATTCAGCGTCTCCAACCGCTGATCACGGTCATCTCACGGATCCCAACTAAATAGTTTTCATTAACACGGCTCAGACCAACAGTCAGTAACTTCATAAACTAATTTTGTGTCTTAGTCTGACAATCCCCAACCTTCTCCCAGAGCATTTTGGCTCCAGAAAATATCGTCTCTCGAAGTAGGTGGTTCCTGGACATGTCATAGTCACCTTGACGATAACACCAACCGATTTGGCATATTTACGTAGCACCTTATGTATAACCAATATTACTTGGTTGTTCCATAAAATGTTATATCTTGTGGCCTGAGTGCTCTGTTAATGTATAACGTAACGATACCACCAATCAAAGCAGTGAATTATCGATCTGACCAAGGACGCGTAAAACACGTATGAGCAGCCTAGAGTCCTGATTACTCCTACTTTCCGTTTAGCCCAGCCAGTTAAGTACAAAACACCAATCTCAACCTCTGGAATATGAATCATTTTTTTCAAACATACTCGGTTTATATACCAATCAAACAGACCACAACGTACCATAAAATAGAAATAAAATTTTACAAAATTTGGCCAAATGTGTCTGTGAGTGTGGGAGGCAGTGATTAATAGACAGGGCATAATTCAAGAATGGTAAAACGTATAATAATGGTTCATAGGTCAAAATAAAGCTTATAATAAGAGGAATATGAATACGAATAGTTTAGTTATTTAACAATTATACGATAAAAATATACGTTTAGTATTGGTCCACAAATGGATCCCAAAGTTACCATTCATTATGCTTATCGGGACCTAACAAACGAGAAACGTTTTAAAGATACTTATGATCGATAGCCGGCCTTCGCATGTCCTACTTTCATAGATCATTTTTCCCAGCCATATAGTAGAACAGAGCAGACTTATGCGTAGTATATACGTCCTTCGGTTGATTGATAGATATCTCCATACTCCACAAGTAATACACTTTGAAAAAGTCAATTGTGACATTATTTGTAAAATTCTGGATTATATTTTGTTTCATTTCTACAGAAGGCTACTACCTTAAAAAGCAGTCACTGTTTGCTTAAATATTACCAACAACTCTGATGTCACAAATACGGTGAGTAGATGCAAATTCTCTGATCACATTGGTGATAGATCAATATTATTCTATACAAACATGTTCTTTAACCTCCTTGGATATTTTCAAAAGGCACTTATCTGTTATCAAGAGGTTTCTCAACAATTCTTGTTAAACATAGTATCTGGGATGATTTCATGCTAGTCAGTAACTTTTGTAGTTGTGTGTTAGACAACAGCTGTTTATTGACTTCGTAATTTTACTGTTATTTTCTCACAGACATTGGTCATTTATAATTGGCGCCTAGATCGCATACGTACTTACTCGGTAAATGCGCTTATAAAGGTACACATATTAGTTCTGGCTGTACACTGTAGACAAAAATAATTTCAGTGAATTACATCACTTTACCTCCACCACTTTCGTTTGTGTAAATTGTACAGATTTCTAGCATACTACGAACTTTAGCATTTTAAAGTTTTCATGCACGTATGCATTTCTCGTATTATTTCAGACTTTCTTCACTGTGGGATCTTTTGGCATCATACACCTGTCAGATACTGATTTCATGCTTCATTCTATTCGTTATTATCTGTGGGAGAAATAAAAAAAACTAATTATGGTTTTTCATATACGTGAAATTACCAGCTTACTAGTAGGTTAAAACAAATTGTTTCTTTTCGCAATTCTTGATCCAATGTTTTGGTGTATTATGAAAAGCAGTTTTGATTATAAGTTGAATTTTTATCACATGTAGAGATATAATGGTTATTGAAGTTTTATAATTCACTGAACATGTATCTGGACACATTCTCTTTCCATAGAATGAACAATTAACTACTTAGTATCTGATCAACAGTGATTAATAGAAAGGTTGCCAAACAAGATATAGTTACTGTTCTGCTTCTTTCTGTACATTTTTCGTGCACAAAAGTTATTTAGCGGCTTGCCTATACTTCTGCCCTACCATATATAATATTTTGCGTATGTGCAAAGGAATACTATTGATTTTAATGTATAATTTATCTGGTTACTCCGTGATGTATAGAAACACAATCTTGTAATGGTGTATTTAACATCCATCGTAACTGCGGTAATTTCAATTATGCCTACCAACTGTCGGTTAGAATTATGTACAGGATCAGTCACTCTTGTATAATGAAATCGTTAAGCATAGAGTGCAGAATCAAATCCAGGATTTAAAGCATCGCGTGCGAACGCACAACTTCTGAACCACTGAGCTCCATACTGAATTTGTTAAATTCTAAGAATTATACGCTTTTGAATTATGAAGTTAAAAATTTACCGAAATATTTTCTAATATGTTCAAAATAAGTTTTATGGTTGCTCTTTTCAACATTTATTACATGTAGTTGTCTTCAATATTTTAGAGTCTCACGTATTGTTCCTACTTACTGAATTGTGTTTTCATTTCAACTATTTTATTCTCGTTTTCAGGTAAAATATGGATGTGATTCATTCCTAAAACACAATTACAATATTATTCTAACAAGAAGTGCTTCATCTCGTCCATTTAAAATACCGGAAACAAATACAAGATGTGATGAGCTACAACCAGAACCATCGAACCAACCAATTATGACATCGAGAAAACTTCAACCTCCTGTTTACTGTTCTGCTAGTTCTCGTGGTTCTCGATTAACATGGTTAGAAACATTGAAACCACTAGGCGTTTCAAAATCTTCCAATTCTCAAAGTTTACTTGGTATGATCGATTTGCATCCAGATATATTTGCTGTATTTCCACGTATCGATTTGGTGCATAAAAATTTATACTGGCAAGCTCATTATCGGTTAATTGTAAGTTAATTAATAGTGGAAATCTTTTTCTTTACACTCATGTATATACTTATCGTGTATTAACTATTTTTAAAGAACCGATGCTTATCTCGTTAATGGTAATGAACGACTTTTGTCCTCGGTCTTCAAATTATATACCTAACAGTCCGCTAAACCAACTTTAAGTTTGTTTTCATATTTTTTATGCTATTCGGCTAATCTAAGGTTTCCTGTATCTGGGGTTTCACCTAAATGTTCATAATTAACATTAAGAAAAACCGTTGAAAACCAGGAAGCATTGGACAACTGCTTCGTCCTTTTATATGACTTAGGCTTCTTGTGAGACCTTAGGTCCTGGGTTCGATCCCTGGTGGGGTCATGGATCGTCGATACTGAGGAGTCCCATACTACGATGAAACAGTTTTCAGTGCTTCCGGCTTTTCTCTGGTTATTTATCTAGAATTAGTCCTTAAAATTAACTATACAATTCAAGTCTCCAATAATCTGTATAGTGATTAAACTGTTGTCAAACAATTTTTAGTTCTTGCGAATAAGGTGGAATGTTATGGAGATGCTGATTATTTTTCTGTTTAATATGTAAGTATTAAATAAATGAGTTAATCGTTTAATGTATATTTTAAATGAGTTGGCGTTTTTCAAAAATATTTTTTTCTAGGATTGGCGTTGTATAACAACACGAGCAGAATTATCCTATCGAACTAGAAAAAAACCTTGGCCTCAAAAAAAAACTGGAAAAGCTCGACATGGTAATCGTCGTACTCATATATGGCTCAATGGAGGACAGTGTAAAGGCCCACGTGGACCAGAGTCTTTTTTCTATCTTCTTCCTTATAATGAACGCCTTGCTGGTTTATTATCAATGTTATCTATAAAGCATGCACAGGTAATTTTTGTTTCTATCGAAAGTAAATAATGAATTATGTAGATTTCTGAAATTTCTGATTGTATCTGAGTTTATTTCCCATGTATAAAATAGTTCTGCATTGCATTCTGTAGGTGAAAGCATTTTGTTCATTTTTATCTAAGACTTCTTATTTTGAATGATCATAGATATTTTGTATTATGGGAAAGATATATTGGATGAACGCTTATCACACATGTTTTGGTGATTGTAAAAAGAAAAGAAAAGGAAAGAAAAGAGGTGCTTTGAACTCAAGGTATTCACAAAATGAACTCCGTTAACTGAAAATCGAATCTTGTACAAGATGCTGATGTTGATTTAAATTTCCCATTTTTAAATTGAAAACTTATTCCTAAATTAATTGTTAAACTTAATCTTTTTATCTCATTTATTTCCTTCTGTAGAATGACTTACATATTGTTGATGATTTTATGCTTTCAAAAACGTTGGAAGAAGATGCTAAAACTATTTTAACTGAAGCACAAACTGCTTCTCTTAACTTGAATGATTTGGAAGATCCACTCTCTGCACTTAATAAAACACGTCATTATCGTTTAACTAAAACAATGAACGAAGCAGCAATATATATTCGTCAATTGGCAGATCTACGTTGTTGGGGTCCATCTATTTTGTTTGTCGATGCGTAAGTGTAGATCCGCATTATACATTTATGAAGTATAGATCATATAAGTTAGTTTTGAAAGATTTCGTAACTGTAGTCAACAAAAAGCTTTGAATCAAAATATCTTGCTGTTATTTTTTAAAATCCCGGCAGTCCATACAACTGTGTTGCTCATCCGCATCACTGGTCGTATTATTCTAAGTAGTGATCATATATTATTTCCTCATCTGATCATCTATCTCATGATTTAGAGGTTAATTATTACTTTAGTTACTATCTTGTTCATTTGTAGGTTATGAAAAATATAATAATTTTTTAGATTGAAATACTCTTTTGAGCAGTTGAATTTTTACCCTTTCATTAGGTTCTCGTTATTCGGCTTCTTGTAGAAAATTTTAAACCTCTGAATAGTTGCATTGGGACATTTTTGTACTTGTTAGCAGTATACGCTGTCGATTATGTTCTTAGCTACACTTTGGATTCTAATCGACTACTTCATTGGTATTGCACTAATCTCATACATTTGATCGATTCTACCTGTTTCTGAGAAGTTGCAAGTGTCATCTAATATATTTATCTGTAGTTGTTTAGCCTGTATCATTCCATAGGGTGTTTCTTTGAGTTTTAACCCTAAGAATTCTCTTCATAAGGTATAAATCAATTTTAAGCTTCATCGACCATAAATAAATGAATTACTCCAACTGTTTTCTAGAATGCAATGTAAGTGTGTTGATTTTGTACTATTAAAGTTTTATCGATGGTAGTGCTTATCCTTATCCTGTGATGCCTCCTTTTTTTAAACTGCTGTTTGAGCCCGAATTTACAAGTGTTTATCACAACCTACACTACATGTTTCCCTCGTTCGGGTACTTGTATTTTTAAGTTAGAACTTTTCCCTAGTTCTTTGATAGCTAACTTCAATGTATCTATGATTGATGAAGCTATCAAATTAAACATTTCTAAGACGACTTTCTTCTTTCATATCAACTCTTTATAGGAATTAAAGCAATTAACATTAGTTTATACATGATTCCTAATAGATAACTATAATAGAGTGAAGATCTACTACCAATTAGACTTCTCCAACCCTAATACATTTTTTGGCCCAGTAACTGTAAGAACATTTTTCGATTTTATGATATATATATATATAGTATCATTAGTGATCTCACGAAACAGTGTAGCTTGAAACCAATTGCATAAACTTGTAGGTGATGGAAAAGATCCACTATCAATTGTTTACATAGCCATGTTAAATACACTTCGAATCTTTTTGTTCACTCAGAAGAAAAAATATTTCCTTTTACGGCCAACACAAAATCTGAGGATTACGATCTAACGTCTCCGTACGCTACCATGTACATTTTTTGGCATAATAGTATCACTGCATAACCTAATATGTTCATTCATGTCTCATTCTGTGTAACTGTCTGTTTATAGTTTACATTCTACTGTTTAAAGTACTGAAGAATTATTCTTTCTAGAATACTGACTAGCAATTTGTGTGTTAAAGTACTATCTAATCTTGATTTTTCCCACCAACTTTATATCTATCTAGTTTAGTGGAAGACAAAACAGATTAGAGGGTAGCGAATTATTGATCGGACCAAAGACTCACAAACACGTAGAACGACCTAGGGTTCTGATTGGCGCCGCTTCCCTTTCTAGCCCAGTCAGTTGAGTCCAGAACACAAGTCACAGCCTCTGAGTTATGAATCATTATATTTCAAACATACTTTGTTTATATACCAGTCAAGCAGACCACATCGTACGATAAAATAGAAAATAACATTGTACAATATTAACCAGTAGGAAAATAACACGTTAAATAAATATTGACCAATAAGATAATACCGTTTCATGTCCAAGGATAGCATTAGGCTTAACAGGATAATTTTTGGGATATTTTCCTGAATATCCCAACATTGGTACTTACAGGTTTCAAGATATTACCTACCAATATACGTTGATGTAGAATTTTGATTATGTTTGACCACTTTAAGTAGCCTTGATATTTGAAATTTCATGTTATCATTTCTTGATATATGTGACTAGTATAAGTAGGATATTACTTTTATTTGTCTTTCCTTACTATGATAGCAGCAATTTGTTATCATTCATCATGTAAATTTTTTGTCTTTTTTTAAAGACATTCTCCAGCAAGTCAATTGGGAGTCCCATGTCCTGGGAGCGAAAACATTGATAATGATAAAACAGACAACATGAACTCTAGTTATGATAATCTAGCAATTAGTTTGGCATGCGGTTCCTATGAAAATCATGTGAAGAGCGAGATTTCACCGGAGTCATCAGCATTCAAACTTGATTCTATTGCTCCACGAGCTACTCATCCTGGTAGAGGTTTAACATTAATGCCAGTTCACAGTTTAAATGTTTGGTCTATGGTACATCATGACACATTAGTCATATCATTAAAAGCGTTAGAAATGTTAGAAGAGAGACTTATCGCTGCCCAAACTGTTGTAGTTCGTGACGAGTACAGCGAGGCACCGTATTTGCATCCTACAACTCCTGATTGGTTCACTGCTGAAGTGGATGGACAAGCGGATGACTATGTAAATAAATCGTTTGAGAACAGACACTTTACTGATATTATAGGCTCATCAAAATGGCGAAGAGATACTCTTTGATTTGTCCACCTTACAGTTATGATTTATATTATTTCCCAAGCCAATACATCATAATCCTACTAATTTTTTTGTATTAACTGTTGGGTCATGTAGTGGGTGTTTTCTTCTGTGTTCTTTGACAGACAGTGCGTGGCTGGGTATAATTATTTGTACTTCATTATGCCAGTTCGTAAAGCGAGTAAAATTAACTCCGTTGAAATGACTTTAATCCTAGGATATAAAATAATTGTTCCGAGTTATAGGTAGACTTATGTTGCGGCCACCCTTTAAGTCCAGATCCATTCAAAAACATTTATTCGAAAAAAGAATTCCGGCTTCCTTCCATGTTCTCTACAAAGCGGCCTGGATAGTTATTTTCAGTCAACGTTTCTCTGAGGAACGCATGTCTTTCATTATCATGAATGTTATTCGGTAAAATAAAGAGTGAATAAGATTCCTCTTTCTGCTTAATGCGAGTAAGCTGTAAAAGTTGAGCGTCTCATGTTTCTTTTCGGCAAATGGACTTTTTTAGGGACCCATCACTCCTTGCTTAAATGACCAGCCCAGTAGAAATTGGGTCAGATTTACTTCTAAAAGTTTTGGTCAATATTTAAACATCGTAGTTTAACTATAAAAACGGTTCTGCATTCCCCAAATCCACTTAGCTTCCTTCATTTTTCCGATATAAATCGCACTCATCATGCTCTGCTGGTTTTTATAATCATTGTATGATGAACAAAAGTTAAGCCTAGGGTTAGGTCTTAACTCATTCTCAGGTGAATAACCTGTAGGATTAGATTGTTTTAATCGTTCATGACATTTAATCATGTTATTTCCCTATTAATAATTTATACATTAGCATATTTACTTCTTAGACCAAACGATCTTTATTTTTACTGATTTGGTGTTCCGTTTTCCGATACCACTTTATTTGAAGATTTTAGTCAATATTTCTTCCTAATAAGCAGTCATCATTCAGCCACATCGTACCAGTGTATTACGTCTGCCAATAGGCACTAGATCCACTCACCTAAAGTGATAAATCGTATCTGGAAAACGATCATGAATTGTATCATCTAGAGTTCAGTTGAGGTATGAAGGCGATTTACAATAAGGAGTCAATACAGTAATAATTAGCAACTAGGTTTGGGCACAATCAATAAACTTTTATACATGGGTTATTGAGGCCTATGTCATGAGCTAACATCAGTTATAATTCAAGTATGAAAATTACCTAGTAATCCGATAAGTGTGTTCATATACTTCAGTCTTTACATTTGACATCATATTTTTAGGTGGAAAAGAAGTTTCCGTACAGTCAAATAAGCTTAGTTGATATTTTCTGAGTCAGTACAATATTTCGAAGCATCAATAGCATGCGACAAAATATTGTAACTAGTAATTTCCAGAGCTAATCAGTACGTAATCCAGCAGTTATGACGTGAAGAGAGCTAGAAACAGAAAAATGAAGTAAAAAGTTTGGTTCTGGCCAAGTCGGATTCTGTTTTTTTACATCGGCCTCGAGAGACTTGGGTCAAGGAGGTTTCGCCTGACAAGCGATCCGTAACGTCTCTCTGGATGACCAATAATCAGCTGTGCGATAGTTCATGATTAGTTTGTTATCAGTGAACTAGATCGTCAACTGAGGCGAAGGAAACCTTGAGGCGCGTTTCTTAGGTGGCATTTGTTGATGCAGTAGAAAAAGTGAAGTCACGGGCTGGCAAGAAAATACATATTAACGATCTAAAAGCGTTTAAGACGGACGTAGCCATCAGTGACTTCATACTATCGTATTTTCAGGTTGTGGTACGTGGATGGAGGTCTTCAATATGTTCCGACAGATACGTGGAGAGGATACTATGTTGGCACATCGCAGATCCACCTTTGCATTCATGAGCAAACGTTGCACTAAAAATGTCCAGAAGTGGTTTGTATTGGTTCTATGTGTAATATTGATGATCAAAAATATGTTGCACAGTAAGTTTTACTTTGTTAGGTACTCAATATTTCAGTTATTTGTGACCAACAACTTAGACGGAACCCGCCCGGTCATGTTTGTGTGAACAGAGTGATATTGACATTGTGCTGTTAAATATGTACAAAGGAAATATCACTCTACAAAAATACCACATGTATTCAATTTACTGGCATGATGCATTTACCAGTAACGCTCTCGACTCAATAAAAACAGACTGAATCCAATTTAACTACCAATTCAATATTTTCCCGAAAGATTTTAAGCTTACAAGGCGAGTGTTCAATAGATTACACAAATGTCCGTAAAAGGAAAAACGTCGTTGTTTATCAACGGAATTTTGCAAACGAAGAATAACAGTGTAATACAGACTTCTGCTAGTTTATAACTCACCGATAAATGAATTGAACTGGCAGAGTACATTATCACTCGAGATTCACTTGTAGTTTAATGCTCAGTAGGACAATTCATGGTGCCTTCCTGATTCTTGAGATAAAATGTTAACGTTTGGTGTACGAAGTACACCCTCATAGTCCCGCAAGTACTACAATATATATTCTAGTTCTGACTCATAGATTTCACATCCGTATATTGTCGTCTCCCATCTTCAAGCGACTGACATTTTGCAGCTACCAAAGTACGATGAGGACGAATACGTGAGTTTCTATAATCGCAGGTTCTCTTCACATATAATCCATATCTGTAGTATTTACACTAACTAATAACTGCTTTGTATTGATTATGCGCGCTGATTACGCGTCCCAAATATAATATGTTAACTTGAACTCATCTAGTTCTACCTACCTTAGACTGTACTATTTTGATTAGCACATTAATTCAAGTAATTTCAATTCAACTAATATCTCATCTGGCGTCACCATAGTTATTTTCAGAACAAATGGATGTTTAATGAATTTGTGAAGCATTTAAGAGTTTAAGTCTTACACTTTTTGAAGGACAAAAGAAATATCAAACAAAATATGATCAAAAATGTGTGCGTAATACCAAGACCAGTCGTCATGTGTTTCTATAAGACGTTAGTGTTTGAATATTTGTTTGGTTTAAACTTCAACGAACCAACTTGTCACTCAGTTCTTCAAAATATTTCGACGTTCAACTCACAAATCGTTAGTAGGTTATAAAAACAAATGAGGAATTAGTTACCTCGAAGTTATAGATACAATTTTTCTGCTCGAATATCTGGTTGCTAGCTGACTCAGAATAGCCTTACTTTATCGTCTGCAGATCTAATTATCCTCACTACTTTATAACGCGTTTCGAATCCCATCACGCCGTTTCAATCGTTTCCTACCCAAATGAATTTGCTACTACCATAGGTATGAAGTCATGCATACAGTTTTCCAAGTCTGTTATTTTATACTTACTTGCGCCTGTTGCCCCACGTGAAGGAGCATAAGCTTCCCACCAGTTTTCTCCATCGTACTCCGTTCTGGACATTCCTTTCCAGTTGTTTCCAGTCTCTATCCATCCTTTTGATGTCTGCTTCCAATTCTTTGGTTTTTCTTTTCCAAGTTAGCTCCTGTCTAGTGATTCAGCTTGGTGATTTCGGCAATGTATGTCCTGTTCACTTCCAACGTCTTCTCTTAATTTACGCTTCAGTTTGAAGTCGGTTTGTTCTCTACCACAGTAGGCTGTTGCTGATGGTATCCGGCCGACTGGCATTAATTATCTAGCGCAGACAACTGTTCATAAACACTGTTGCGTTCCTGATCTGTCTACCCACTAATATACAGACGATAATTTGTCTCAAACTAGAATGAAACGCGATAAGCTGACTTTTTTCTTTGAGGTTAGAAACGCATGAGTTTGAGGGGAAATTATCCCATCATTTGAGTGGTTAACAAACGCGTGCGAGGAAGAAGAGACGACTGGAATACTACTCCATCAATTCCCATATGCGATTCAGATTAGCGAAAACAGATACATGAATAAATAGATGACTAAAGTGATCAAAATGCACAAGCAATTAGGAAATAAAATTATGTCCAAAAATAACAATTAGGGTAGAAAAATAGACTACTAAAGGTTATCTATAAATTACAATAGCTTTAGAACGAAAAAAGGTGTGTCAGTAAATCATACATCGACTGAAAGCTTATGGCTTGTAGAATAAATCAGAAATAAAAATAAATATTAGTGTTTGACAAGCTTTGAATGAAGTGAAATAACGTTCACAAAAATAGCTTTCGTTTTTTGTCAATGCTTCTTTGTGTACATTGTAGATCACCAACGTAGATGATCTATGTGGAAATGATTGGAGGCCTACTCGAGTTAGACATGAATGGTGTGACAAACTAGCTAATGTCGAAGTCACACCTTGTGGTCAGCACCTTACATGGACTACCCCATTGACGTATCACGGTACCATAGATGCTTTGAAGACTGTACAACACAGGAAGTTATCACAGAAATATATTAGTTAAGGTAGATACAGGCGAAAGTAAGACCACTGCCGCATGGGCCAGTCCATGGCGTATGATTAACCAATGCGCGTTTTTTGTACATGACCTTGGCAGGGAGCGACGATCTGTTCGACATTCAGTGATCCAACTGCCGGATGATTTGGCTAGGGCTCAGTGACATTTCACTGGCCCTACAACATAAAACTCGTGTGCTCTTTTGTTGATGATTGTAGTAGTTCTCAAAATTTCAGCGACGTACAGTAAAACTATCTTGACGTCCATATTGATGATTCTGAACTTGACACTGGCTAACAATTGTTTTGAGTCCCATATGTCCTTCAATTATAGGAATCCTGCTCTTGCTTTGCCTATCCTTGCCTTTTCGTCTGTATCCGATCCTCTTTGTTCATTGATGGTGCTTTCCAGACACGTGAAAGTTTCGACCTCTTCCAGAGCTTCTCCATCAATTATGACTGGGTTGGTGTTCTCTGTGTTGTATTTGAGGATTTTGCTCTTTCCCTTGTTTATGTTGAGGCTGCTACTACACTGGCTGTCTCGACCGGCATTTGTCCGTGCGTATAGGATAGAAGTGCCAGGTCATCTGCAAAGTCCAAATCGTCTAGTTGCATGCAAACTGTTCATTGTATTCCTTGCTTTCTCAAGAAGTGAGGGTGTTCATGATCC